GTTTCATCTCCTTGAAGCGAAAGCTGTGAATGACCATAAAAGTTAAATAAACTCATCAAAGATGAAGGTCATAGCGGTTTCTTTTTTCCCCGAATTGTCTCAGGTGTTGATTAAATTTACAGCAATGACAAAAAGTAATGAACATTGATTACGAATATAACATCATTTAACTCACTTTTTTTCTTTTTGTCCGGTAAAAAAAGTATTTTGTCAGTGGGTGAACTGGATATATTGTAAGATTGTAAAAACAAAAAACAAAAAAGGAGGCAAAACACTCCAGAATAAAAGATTGTCAGCATAACGAAAAAAAAACACTGATGGTAAACAGTCAATGTCAGTACCCACAACAGAAAATTTAAGGATTTAGGCATAGTGGTAAAATCAATAAAGGACACAAAGGAATGTCAACAGCAGAAAGTATATTAAGGTGGATTGTAGCTCATATGAAATATTGCAGCACTCTCTGAGAGAAAGAAATACATTGTGGCTAAATTACTGCTGTAGTTTATGATCAACCCCTCACCTCAGGCACTGTTGCCTGCATTCAAACCGTGTGTGCCCGTGTGTGTGTGCACGCGTGTGTGAAGCGATCGTCATTCATTTTCAATTCAGACAAAACATTTTAGACTTCGAGATGTTTAACCTCTGAGGCCTCGGCCGAACCTTCTGTCCAAAAAACCACTAGCAGGGGCTCAAATTCCAATTTCTCGTTACCTCAGAGTGTCACGCCTGGGGGAATGTCTCGTCTTGATTACCTATTGTGTACACCTGGGGTTTCCCTCCCTCATGTGTTTAAATAGTCCTCGTTTCCCCTTGTCTGGTGCGGGGTCGTTCTTGTCTTCTTGCCTTGTCTCTTGTCCTTTCGTCCGTCGTCACCCCCACGCCAGGTTTGTTTCGTTATAGTTCTGCCACAGCCACAGTCATAGTCACGTTTTGTCATAGTCTTGTTAATCTTTATTTTGTTACTTTACCACAGTCTTGTTTGCTTTGCTTTGATACTTTGCCCACAGTTTTCCACAGCTTTGTTTTGTACTTTGTCTGGACTTTCACCCTGTTTGTACAATAAACCTTGTTTCCCTCATCTCCGCACCTGAGTCCTCCGTCAACACCCACCACCCTGACACAGAGGTGCTGCCTGTTCTTATAGTCAATCAGGATATGCAAGTGTGTGCAACATGGGGGGGGTATAAAGTGTGTAACGCACTCTGGTGTACACATGGCTGTGAGAAAAGCCCCGAGGACAAGAAAAGTCCCTTGCCACTGCCTGCAGTTGTTTAACTTGCTGACATTAAGAATTTATGAGTTTAAGAATTCTGGCGCTCTCTTTACACTGCAACATGTCTATGAAAGTGTTGTGGCAGAACAAACAAGTTGTTTTGTTGATGCTTGTTTATCAGGATGTGACTGCATAATACAAGAGAAGAAAAACTATTTTTACTTAGACGTAAATACATCCAGGGATTCTTCAAAGTGGTAACGTGGCTTTGCCTTAAATCGTGTTGTCCTCTTTACTTCCATTGATCATTTCATTTGCCGTGATAACCTTCACAGTGCCATTATGTGACAGATTATTCAGCCAACAGCTTTATATGTGATCAGGGTCCACTTTGTCGACAAAATAACCCCCCTGTCTCAGTTTTGTGTTTACAGGATAGATACAGATTAAACTTTAGAAATAAATATACGAGAAAATGAGGTAAATAGCATCCATAATACACAGCAATGATCTTATTATCCTTTTCTGTGTAGAGTTCAATCATTATTGATTGCCAAAAAATGGAAATGGCTGAGAAATAATTCATGCCGTGGACGGAATATTAATCGTGGTCAAACTGCAGACTTTTTCTTCCAATAAAGAGAGGAAATTGATATGCCGGTGTGGTTCATTATTATTCTCGGGGCACGCTATTGTTTTTCATCGGGTGAAACGTTCCGGGGGCGAAATGGACACGCTGGAAAAACAGAATCGAGCTGGGGGGGGGAGCTCTGAACGCTAGGTGTCACCCTTGTGACTGTGAAACCGGCCTGCTGCAGCTCAGGATGTGTTCCTCTGCGGAAGAGGCGGCGCGTTCGCGTGGGCGTGCGTGCGTGCGCGTGTTTGAGTGTGTGTGTGTGTGTGTATGTGTGTGTGAAAGAGAGAGAGAGAGAGAGCGATGGACGGAGCGTGCCTGAAAGAGGGACAGGCTGTGAGCGAGTGTCGCTTCTCCCTGAATATGAAAAGTGAGATTTCGGGGTGGGTGATGACAGACTGCAATATGTGCAGGGGCTTTGGAACTTAATATTCAGTCATCTCTCGTTGTGCCACAGTTGTATTCCTGCTTTTTTTTTTTTGGAGCGTTGAATGCATGCAACGGTGCTGAGTTGTTCGCATCACAAGGAGCCATATAATGTCGCTCTGAATTACACGCAGATAAAAGAGAAGGGAGGCTTTGAATAACAGTATAATTGATGTGGCCCTTTTATTATGATGATGAGCGGCAGGCTGGAGGTCAGCACCCTCCTCATTATTAGCCTCACTCAGAGACAATTCTACGCACTGACGGGAGCTTGTCTGTTGTTGTTTATTTTTTTTAATCATATAGGTTAATTATCACTTTAATTAAACACACATATTAGACACTGTTGAGTATCTTTCACATACAAGGAAAATATATTTTAGTCGTCAGCAAAGCACTTTGACTGCTCTAACATTGGAAGTTGAAAACACACACACACATATATATATATATTTATCTTTATTTTTTTTCTATGGGTTATCGTATTTTTAAACAAGCCTGCAACAACATGTTGCTACGTTAAAATCATCATACAGACATTATGTGCGCTTATTAGTTATTTGGAAGGACCCTCTCCACCGTGCTTGGTGTTGCCCAATTTGAGATTTAATGCATTTTAAGTGCCTGGGAGTGATGTTGGGGTGTAAGTGATGTAACATAATATCTACAGTTGCAACAGCTGTATGGATCAACAGGCCTGTGCGTAAAATATGCAAAAAGGTAGCAGGAAGTGGTAGGAAATGGTGTTTGCTTCTGCAGTGCTGGCGGCTCCACGCGGGGGTCACATGGCAAGTGTGGGGGTCCCCCGTGGTGGGAATGTGTTGGGAAAATATGCTGCAGAAGAGAAGGCAAAGCACAATTCTGTAAAAGTTGCCCTTACAGCCTCTCCTCTGGCGTGGGGAATTAATATCTTTCTCTCTTTGCTTCTGCACCCATGGAAGCTCCTTCAAACACCCCCCCACCACCCCCACCTTCCCCCCTATGGGTCCCCCAGACCCTGGTTGTGGAAGCAGCTCTACCAATCGTCTAATATTCGGCGTCATGTTTCGGCTTGTACGCCGTAATTGCCCGTTGAGCCGTCCGTCTGCAGGAGAACAGGTAGTTGGTGGTGTTTGGTCGCTGCGCTTGGCCCCGCCCACCAGCAGCCCCAGCCCTCCTGTGCAAGCCCTGATTGGCTGAGGGGATTGCGGGTCCTGAAACTGAACGCTGGGCTCAGAGCTGCGCGTCTGCCAGTGTGCGCCAGTGAAGCGAGAGGAGCGCTTGTTGGAGTCATCCAGACAGCCTACAGGAGACGAGTGGAGATTTTTTTTGCCCCCCCCCCCCCTCTCCCCTTTGCCTCAGTCAGGCTGGATGTGGGCATCAGTGCTTCGTTTTTTTTTTGTTCCAATTCAACCTGAAATGCGTTTTGAACACACTGTAGGCTCCGGCATCGCTTGATCCCTTTTGGCTTTTGGCTGCGTTTTCAGTGGATTTTTTTTGTTTTTTTTGTTTCGTGTGTGTTGTATGGACTTATATTGGGATATTTCCGTAGCCTTTTTTTCCAAGTGAGATACGCGGGGATCAATTAGTAAGTAAAAGCTGACAGACTTTGCGAAAAGGAAACGAAAGACAAAGTCTCCGGGAGAAGAAAGGTAATCGGGACTTCTGTGATTTTATGAGACATTCCTGCAACTGCACCTAAGCAAAGATATCTGGACTTGAGCTAATTTTGTGACTGCATATGCTTTTTGCTTTAAAAAAAAATGAAATATGCTTTTTATTGAAAGCTCATAACTGCCGACCGAAGAGGAAATGTAATCCCTGCTTGTAAAATAGCCTCACACAGAACAAGATATTGTCCAAAACTGCGACTTAAACGTTTACTTGCATCTGGGCGGAGAATTTGAGACGGACTTTTGAGCCCCCATCACTTCGCCTGCACGGAAGATTAAGATCTTTGTGGAGTTGCTCATAGAGGAATTCGCCCTTTTTGAGTATATGTAGTCCGAGCCTTTTCCCCTCCTTTTTTCTGCTCACTCGAGAGTGGACAAGTGATCGTGAGTCATGTGTAAGAGCAGTTTGCTGCTTGTTAAGAGCCGCACGGATTTCTTGGGCTAAGCCACGGCCGTGAGAAGATTCAGCATGTTTTCACAAATCCGTAGCCCTCTACGTTTCTCCCGCTGCTGCAGACCGGAGGATGAGCTCTGCCTGCGAGGAGCCAAATAGTCCAAAATCACTTGTTAGAATAGTACAATGATTTAATCTGCATTCCGAAGAAAACGGAAACACTCTTTTCTAGACATTTTTAATGAGATCGTTCATCTGTATTCTTTTTTTTTCTGACGTGCAGGGTCGTGCGTAATTATTAAGGTCTTTATCAGGCTAAGAGAGAGAAAAAAAAACTCAACAGGTACAATGCAAAACAAGGATATGGAATTAATACAGTTAAGTGCTGTGTTCCTCTTATTTTGGGTCGGGACTGAGGCTGTTATCAACTTAAAATATGGAATAAACGAGGAGATGAAACCTGGGTCAGTGATTGGAAACGTTACAAAGGACGCACTTAAGCAAGGATTTCAGATTGCACCGCAGCCCCCCTATTTAAGGGTTATTTCCAATTCCGAACCACGGTGGGTGGAACTCAGTCCAGCCGGAATTCTTACAACCCAAATGAAAATAGATCGGGATGTAGTCTGTCGCCAAAATCCAAAGTGCATTATTTCTCTAGAAGTGATGTCAAACTCGATGGAGATCTGTGTCATCAAAGTTGAAATTGAGGATTTGAACGACAACGCGCCCAGATTCCCAACTAGCCACATTGATATTGAAATCTCAGAGAACGCCTCCCCTGGTACCAGGTTTCCCCTAGAGGGGGCAAGCGATCCGGACTCGGGGATCTTTGGAGTGCAGTCATATTCCATCACTCCAAATGAGCTTTTCGGACTAGAAATCAAGACTCGAGGAGATGGGTCCAAAATTGCTGAGCTTGTTGTGCAAAAATCCCTGGACAGAGAAACCCAGTCCCACTATTCTTATGAAATCAGCGCAGAAGATGGAGGAGACCCTCCTAAGATAGGTGCGGTCCAGTTAAACGTCAAGGTAATTGATTCTAACGACAATAACCCTGTTTTTGATGAGCCCGTGTATACTGTTAACGTGATGGAGAATTCCCCCATCAACACATTAGTCATAGATCTGAATGCAACGGATCCTGACGAGGGGACCAATGGAGAGGTTGTGTACTCATTCAACAGTTACGTCACTGAAAAAACGAGAGAGGCTTTCAAAATTGACCCCAGAACCGGAATCATCACTGTTAACGGAGTTTTGGATTATGAAGCCACGCAAATATACGAGATCGACGTCCAGGCCAAAGATTTAGGTCCCAACTCCATCCCAGCTCACTGCAAAGTCACAGTGAATGTGATGGATACGAACGACAACCCACCTGTCATCAGCCTGCTCTCCTTAAACACAGAGATGGTGGAAGTTAGTGAAAACGCGCAGCGTGGATATGTCATTGCGCTGGTGAGGGTGTCAGATAAGGATTCCGGGGCAAACGGCAAAGTGCAATGCAGGCTGCAGGGAAATGTGCCGTTCAGACTGCAAGAATACGAGAGCTTCTCCACTATACTTGTTGATGGCAGGCTGGACAGAGAGCAAAAGGACACTTACAACCTGACCATCCAAGCGGAGGACAGTGGCACCCCTCCTTTACGCGCCACAAAGTCTTTGGTGGTCAAAGTAACAGACGAAAATGACAACCCGCCCCACTTTCTGAAGCCACATTACCAAGAGATGGTGATGGAAAACAATCTTCCTGGCTCATGCCTGCTGGCAGTATCAGCAGAAGACCCAGATCTGGGGATGAATGGGACAGTTTCCTACTCCATCGTCCCCGGTGAGATTAAACACATGGATGTTAACACGTATGTCAGCATCAACCCGTCCGGGCGCATTTATTCCATGAGATCATTCGATCACGAGTACACCCGGACTTTTGATTTTAAAGTTTTGGCCAGAGACAATGGTAATCCCTCGCTGTCCAGCAACGCCACGGTGCGCATCGTCGTGCTCGACGTAAACGACAACACACCTGTTATGACGAACCCTCCGCTGGTGAACGGCACGGCGGAGGTGTCCATCCCGAGAAACGCCGGCGTGGGTTACCTGGTGACCCAGGTGAAAGCCGACGACTACGACGAGGGGGAGAACGGCCGGCTGACCTACACCATCTCGGAGGGGGACAGGGCTTTGTTCGAAATCGACCAGGTGAACGGAGAGGTGCGCTCCACGAGGATGTTTGGAGAGAACGCCAAGTCCACGTACGAGATCACCGTCGTGGCCAGGGACCATGGCAAACCCTCCCTGTCCGCCTCGGCCTACATCGTGGTGTACCTCTCACCAGACCTGAACGCACAGGAGGCCATCGGACCTGTCAACCTGTCCCTCATCTTCATCATCGCCCTGGGCTCCATCGCAGCCATCCTGTTCATCACCATGATTTTTGTGGCAGTCAAGTGCAAAAGGGATAACAAGGAGATCCGGACGTACAACTGCAGGTACTGACAAAATGCCTGTTGTTGATGCGTGTGAGCGTGTGTGTGTGCGAGTGCATTGCTTTTTTTTTTTTTAAATCATGCAGCATGTGGAGGCCCTGTTCGTGAGGACTGCAGATTTCCCTTCTCTCTCGCAGCTGTACAACCAAAGCTAAATCTAAATGAACCCGACTGCCTTAAATCAGATACATTCTGCTGAGGCCCTCTTTCCTGCGTAAGGGGGACGTGATTGATGGTTTAAATCCTTCCATTGTAACCAATTGACTCATAAATACGACGGTTCAACTGTCATGTTCAATTTGCGGATGTGTTGGCGGACAATTAATGTCCCACTGATTCAATAGGAGTAGAAGGCATTTATTATTTAACGTCCACCGCTGCTGATTGGCTGTTATCGGTTTAAATCTCGTGTGATTATGTAGTCTTTTTTTTTATCATGGGTGCTCTTCTGTTTTTATCATCGCCAAGATGCACCATTAAGAACGACTGTGAAGTAAAACGCATCAGATTGAGCTCATGTAGATGGTGTGAAATTACCTTCAGTCATTAGGACGATTTATGAGAAGTTTATTATTTTCTGATCTTGCATTTATGGGAATTCTTGTTTTCTTCATCAATTCCAGCATCAGTTCTGGACTTGATTTCCCTGCATGTGCCACATTACCAATTTAAATTTACATATAGATTGGATTTGAGAATTTAACCTGAAGCTATAATCATATTTTGCTCCTCACATAGTTTTGTTGATTTGGGGATAATTTTATGTTTCAAGTAGCACTGACCATGAAAAATGCACTAACACTCTCTTAGCATTTGTCAGATTTTATTTTAATCATTACTGATGAACAGTTAACTTTTCTGTGTTCATTTTTTGTTGCATTTTCACTGTGGTGAAATTGCATTGATGGACCAAATAAGGGAATGAATCCTCCCCCTTAGAAAAAACATACAAAAAGTACAGGTAGCCGCACCTTTAGATTTAGAGCTGATTTTTTTAAAATATGTGGGAAACTATGAGATATTCTTAATATTTAAAGGATCTACCTAAAGTAGTTCTGCTCATTTGTAATGTCAGTCCCACATTTCTTGCCGAGAAGAAACAATGACACACAACAACAAATTGAGAATTCATGACTGCTCCCAGTCTTTGCTCTCCTAGTGTTAGAACCTCTCCCTGCTGGGAGCTTTAATCAGCGCTGATGTGCTGTGCTTCTCAGTCGCCACCTCGAACATGAGGAGCAGTTATCTCCAATTTATTGCTTGTACCCTGTCAGTCTGCCTGACTCTGAAGTTCCACCCCCCCCCCTTCCCAGATTTCAATTTAGGCACAGAGGAGAGAGACAACATCTTAAATGTGATGAATGAAAAAGTGATGCAGTGTTTTCGGACCCTGCAGCTGCCCATTTTCTTTCTCTGACTGAAAGAGGAACAGAAATGGGTGTGGGAGCTATTTTCAAGATGCAATCTTAAAGACAAGTGAAATAGACAAGCAAGCGTGGGTTATTTAGAAGAGAAAAAAGGATTAACATTGTATTTTATTGGGGAGCGGCGGCCAGTAGGGCCTTGTAATTGCAGAGACTTTACAAACAAGCAGAGACAGCAACAGAGAAAGTCAAAAGACAGGGATTTTATCCTTATGTAGACCTTTGTTTTGGACTTATTAGTGTGATATCAGACATTTTCTTTATCCCAAGTTAGATTTAAACTCCCCCAGAGTTTCAAGTAATAAATATAGTCTCTTATGATATAGAATATAGCTTGTGAGGTTTGTATTAATCACTAATGTACTTAGCATCTGTTCCTCTGTGAAAAATTGCGCATAGTGGATATTTCCCCCAATCTGAGGATTCTTTGATAAGAGTTGCTGCGTTGCTCATTTGCTCCTATTAAAGTCAAAACTCCACGTTCAAGTTTGCAGAAGTCAGTAAGAGCAGCTAAGTGAATTTGAGTCTGCAGTTCTCCTGACTCTGTGTTGCTGGTGGGCTTGCTTGCTTATGAAAGAAAAAAGAAAAAAAGAAGTAATTAGCTTAGGCTGTGTGCTTTGAATATGACTGCACATACCGGTAGTGCTGCTCAGTATCAGTGTACTCTTTTGCTTTGCTTCTGTGGTTTTTTGGCATGTTTGCATATCGTCTGCCTGTTTGTGACATGAGAATTGTTGAGCATGCAAATGCAAACAAACAGAGGCTGACAGCTCCATTTCAAGCCGGGTGTGGGAAGTCATTTAGGTGTGCTGTTTCACCCTTTGACACAGGCAGAGGGGCCTCTGTCTGCCACCTGTGGTTGAGTAACTCTGTAGCCGGCATGATGGGGTGAGCTTTTTTTGACCGTGTGGGCGCGGGCGGGAAAGGCAGGACACTACTTTATTGAGTCTGTTCAGTTTCTTCTACTTGCGCAGGGTGGCGGAGTACTCATACGGCAACCAGAAGAAGTCGAGCAAGAAGAAGAAGCTGAGCAAGAACGACATCCGCCTGGTGCCGCGAGACGTGGAGGAGACAGACAAGATGAATGTGGTGAGTTGCTCATCTCTCACCTCCTCGCTCAACTACTTCGACTACCACCAGCAGAGCCTGCCGCTGGGCTGCAGGCGCTCGGAGAGCACCTTCCTCAACGTGGAGAACCAGAACTCGCGCAATGCCGCTCCCAACCATGGCTATCAGCACCCATTCACGGGGCAAGGCCACCAGCAGCCAGACCTCATCATCAACGGCATGCCGCTGCCAGAGGTGAGATACTATCCAATGCGCTATGTCCTTGATCCTTAGCTGAAAAAAAAAAAGAAAATGGATTTTTTTTTAAACATGTGCTCTGACTGTTTAATGCAATGAGACAGTAATGATTATACATCAAAACCAAATCTTTGGCAAAATACACCAGGCTCCCCCCCTCTACATATCTCAAGGTCTCGTGATATTTAGTATTCCACAGCGCCAGAGTATGTAGAGTCGGTGAAAAATGTGTCTGTTGCTGACGGAAAAGCAAAGCTATTCGAAATGGCAACGTGTCAGTAGAGTGGAATCCTTCAAGGCATTTCAAGGTGCCCAGACACCGGGGCTGACCTGTGATGAGAGCGCTTTGCCAAGCAGAATTTGGAGGCCTGACAAAGTGGATTATTTGGTCTCTCTCGCTGCACTTGTTTCCCCCCCCTCACTTTTTTTTCCTTTTTTTTATTATCCTTTTCACTTGTGTGTGCTGAGCTACTGCAAACTGAACAGGAGTTTGTGCACCTGCCAGATGTATTGACTCGGCTAATCAGCTCCACCACACATCATTTCAGGTGCTAACAGAAAGAATAATCATTGCTTAAATCTGTATGTCGTCCATTTGGCTGCAGCGTTGCCGCATGGCTGCCCCGCACAGCCGGCCACTGAATTATCCTGACACACCATGCGTGGCTCCGGCAGAGCAGTGAAGGTCTGCCTCGACAGACTATTCAAGCTCACAGGTGCATGCCGACCAGCTGATCTTTAGTTTATGGATTTTTAGATGTATGAACTCTTCTATTGGATTCTTTTGGCAATCTCCCTCTTTCTGTTCATGACCCACTTCTCTCATGGGAGAAGGGGACATTTATGTTTGTTTGTGTGTGTTAGAAGTGGGTGTGTGTGTGTGTGTGTGTGTGTGTGCCGTGCTTACATAGACAGCAGCAAACAAGCTCTGTCCCGGCGTACACACTCTCCTGTAATTGATGAGCCCAATCTCCGTTTGACATTCAGTGAGGAGAAAGTGGGGGTGTTGGCTCGAGAGTGGGGGTCTTAAAACAAGAAACACAAGATGGATATTGATATATTGACCGGATGATCCGGAGAGATCCAGGCACCATTGGATCCTGAGGGGTCAATGAGACCTACTTACAGGCGTGCTGATTTACTGAGCCTGTCTGAGCTGCTTGGTTGTGTGTTTGTTTGTTTGTGTGTGTGAGAGTAACACAGGTGGAAGGAATGAGAAATGTTGTGGGGGTTGTTTTGCCGCGTTTCGCGGTCAGTGGAGGTAGAGGTGGGGGATTGGGCAGGTACACGCAGTGACCCGTGTGCTGTGATTGTGTCTGCTGGTGGGCAGTGCTTTACCAGACACCCCGACTCTTCCTCAGACAAAACAGGGAGGAAAAAAGAAAAGAAGCGAATATAAGAAATCTCTCACGGCATCCTGCCCATGTGGCTGAGGCATCCAATAAAAACGCATTAGCCGCCGGATTAGGACACCCTTTATTTGTTTCAGCTAATGAAAAAGAGGAGAGGGAGACAAATGGGGAGGAAGATTGATTTTGATGATTCATTATGCAAAGCTCGAGCTGTCTTGATAGAGCTGTGTGAGGCCAGATAGACAGATAAGGAGGGCAAATCTGGAGTCTTAGTGCCAGGTGTCTAAGCCCGGACCACGTTTTCTCATTTTCTCAGAGGCAGCTGATTGGCTTGATAGAGGCTGGAGCTGTTTAGCATGCAGCATCCGCCACGTTCCTTCTTGCACTTGATGTTGACAAACATCTCTTTGACCCAGTCTTTGCATATTTTCCCTGGATTGAGAAAAAAGAGGTTGTGACTGAGTGTGTGTGTGTGTGTGTGTTGGTGAGAGAGAGAGAAGGGAAACTGGGAAAGAAGGGAAGAGTGGCGTCAGGAGTGTGCCTTACCCTCCAGCAGAGTAACCCAGCACAACAGTTGTCACTGTTTTCTTTCCTCCCCACCGTGACATTTGCAAGAGACAGAAGCTATCCAGTATGTACAGATGTTGCGCTTAAATAAAAAATGTGCTCAGTTTAATTACAATGCCATTTATAGCGCAAACAAACTGCCGCGAAATGACTGATAATTGCTTTGTTACAATGAGCAAGCATGGGCTTGAAACCACTTGACTCCACAAGTCCTCAACACATATTCCATTGACTGGTTAGGACACACGAGTGGCTGAGCTGTTGTGATTACCGAAACTGCTCCGTCCCCAAAAAATTATTTTCATCCTGAGGGCAACTTTGTAATTACCAATGATTCATCCATCCTCGGCAGAAGAGGCTTTTGTTTTTTTTCACACCGGAGCTCAGTGTGGTCCCCGTGTTTGTTTATTTTCCAAAAGGACAGTTTAAAGTAATCATAGTCATCAGATTGTGATTAGAATTGGTTCGCTAATGGAGGAAAGGAGGATACGGGCTTGTGTTGATTTAGAATGGATGTATTTGATTGATACAAATTTCCCCTCCGTTGTTAGTTTATGAGGGCAGTAAGCGCGCTCATCAGTGGGCTAACTGTCGTAGCGGCAGCTGGAATCAAGCGCTTCCTCCCACAGACCAAACGCGCTGCCACACGCTGCAGAATTGGCCAAGATAACAGTGACAGGCGTCCCTGAAGGCCTGGTACCTGCAGTCGCATTGTCTTCTCCCCGGTGAGAATGTTCACAAGTATATACCTCCTTGAACATCACTCTCCATTGTTTTTGCAAAGCATCAGCTGTGAGCTGTTTGTTAGACCTGCCTGTGGTAGCAGTAATATGAATGCTCACAGGAGAATAGAGCTGTCTTCCATGGCTTAATTATAGTGAATCACTTGGTGGGGGAGACAATTATACAGTAAAGGAATGGCCTTTGGCTAGAATGTGTTTTTGAATTTGTAATGCGCACTAAGGCTTTTCACACCTGTGAATCCAGATAATGAGCATAGCGGGAAAAATGGATCTTGCGCTTTATCGATAAGCCTTGTTTATAAAAGACAATGATTTTTCTTTTAAATGTTTCGTTGATAAATCTCACGTAAAAAAGTGGCCGGACATTGTGCTGCATGGTGCTAATATTAATATTCAATAAGAGTGTGTCCCGCAAGTTATTTATTCTATAACTTGAGCTATTATCCCGGTAAAGGTCACTCCTTTTTTTAAATGAGCTATTATTACATAAGCCTTAATGATGCTGAATTATATTGCATTGAACAGTGACGGGTCCCAATTCTGACTCTCAAAGCAAATCAAACAAAGCTAAATAATTGAATCGAATTTTTAACAAAACAACTGACAAAAGATCTGTCTGCTGATTTTCTGTCTTAGTTTATATGGATCTCAGGGGAAACAACAGGGAGTGGTTCCTGTGAGGCTTCACATCCCTCTCTATCGCCTCACATCGGGACGATATACTCGAGAGCTTTCAAACGTGTCATATTGAGCATGCAAAGTAGATGTCATGCTGTCAGTACATACTACACATCTGTTAAAACTGCCAGTCTCCCCACACACTTACTCATGAATATCCACGCAGACATAATATTTCTTTTGCAGTGTTGCATTTATTTGAAATATGGGCAGAGGACATTACCATTTGCATCATTATGAGTGAGAGACTCAGAAATCTCCCGAAATAAGAGAGGCATAATTCAATGTTATCAGTGATCAAACACTGTTGAGATTGCGCTTTTAAAGTACTTTGTTTTTGTTTGCTGTGATTATTTTTATTGTGACTTTAAGTTCTGGTTTCAAAATCTCTTTTTCCCTTTTCATTTTAACATTAACAAAAATGTCACATATTTACAGCGGTTCTATTATTATTATACTTTTGCTCAGTGTGGTTTTACAGCGTATTAAGAAACGAATGTTCCCCCGTATCTCAGCAGCTGTTCAGTTATATAAGGCAAAATACATTAAGGTTTTGAATCTCCTGCAGTGTCAAAAGCACACTAGATAGATTTAAAACAGTTGTTTCAGCTTAATTTCAATTTGATCTTTGCAGATTGTATTTGGCAAAGGCATTTCTCATTTACTTTTTGCTGGTTTTCTAGAACAAGAAGCTATTAAGAAAAAGTCTAGGCAACCACTGATGGCTAAATATGTTGAGAAAACAGAGAGCCGAGATGCAGAAATGTAAAACAACGCGTCAGCACTCATTTTGTGTTGTATTACTACATATGGAGACGGATTTTAAGAATCCTAAGGTCAAAATGCTGCTGTCACCTGCAGCCTAAAGAACAGCATCAAGCTGTTTTTCTTTTTTTTTTTAAAGAGCTTTTCATGAGTGCTTTTAGTTCTTCTCTTAAGTTTTTGGTTGCAAGTGTTACTGTGCCTATTGAAAGTAAAGATCATGGAGAACTATTGGAATCTTTTGATAATAAGAAAGTGAATGTGAATCTGAAGCTGCTTTAAGTTTTCAATATTTATTTTGGCAATGCATTTTAAAAAATAAATGTGAGAAAAATGTAATTGTTTCATGGGTATATATTTTTCCACAATGAGATTTATTTTTCAACTTTTAAATAACTCATCATAATTTTAGTAATTTTATAGTTAATAATTTTTCGTAGTAATTTTAAGTAATCACTTAAGTAACGTAACATTAACATGAACAGAGCGTGGAATTACTGAATGTCCAAATCTTATCATTGAAGGAGGAAAAAATAACATGATACTTCTGCCTGACACCTTTTTATTATGATTCGGATGTATTCTGATTGAAAATTCACTCCTCTTCTCCTTCCAAAGCAGTTACAATGAAAAGTTTAATTTAAAGAATACACAGATTGATTGGTAGATTGATTGGTAGATCAACCTGTAAGAGCTTATTTGTAAAGTAGCAGTTTTAATATTGCGCTGGTCAATAGGGGGACATAGCACCGTGCCCATCATACTCGCTGTAAAAATGAACTCTATGACAGTGATTTACCCACTGCCATTTATAGCTGGCCCCTCCCCTCAGTGTTTAACGCACACCACTGGTGTGGCTCTCGGTGAGTAAGCGACATTACTCAACGAGATTGTTTTCAGTTCGTGCGCAGCCACTGCTAGTTTAACACTCGGG